CAATAATAACACAAAAACACCACCCCACCCACTTATCAAACCCCAAACCAACACAATAGATATCCTTTCTACAACACAATCCTCTTCATCAAACCTAAGTAAAGAATATAACTCTAACACAACCATGACAACTTACACAATCAACACACCACGTTCTGATATTCTCACACACAGAAACAACAACCCCCCTGACCACAACGTCCAGGACACAAACATCCAAAACACAAATCCTGCAACCTCACAAGACACTCACACACAACAAAACATACACACACAACACCTAAGTAACAACAGAATATTAAGACCAAGACCAAAACTCCCCCCTGCAATGAAATATAACTTATCACATTCAAAGAAACAAAACATTACAGCCCAATTCCCAAACAGCTGATAGGCGCGACTTTTGAAAATGGTCTTGAGACTGACTGCTTTATCCCTTTAAGAGCTTCTTAAGCACGCTATGTGCACATGCCTCACTAAAACCGTTATAGAACTGTTATGTAAATTTATGCGCTTGCTTACTCCCCCTTCTCATTTAGCCCTTTGCTCTGATGATGTTAACAGGTTGTTAACGAAAGCTCAGCAATTAATAAAAAAAGCCTTTTACCTTACATCCCAGAGTGCTTTATTTTTATCTGATTGACTTTAAATGTCCATACCTGGGCCTGGTTAACTTCTAATTTGAACAAAAGCAAGAATCACCTTTCCGAGACTCCCAGACGATACAAATTGCCATCAACCTTGCTAGAGGTTCCCTGCAGGCTTTGCATTTTGCCATTTGCTATGTATGGGGTTTATTGGTTTCTGTATTAAGGTTTTATTGCTGCAAATCGTCCCCCTTTATGATACCGTGTTTCCCCGAAAGTAAGCCCCAGCTTGATTTTTGGGGTGGGCCTAATATAAGACACCCCCCCCAAGGTAAGCTCTAGTTTGGGGCGAGGGCACTCGCTTAGCTTACCAGTAGGACCGCCACAGCCAGGCCTCTAGAGCCGTTGCTGTTACTCTGCGGCAGGCCGGCCCGAAGCACCATGCAACGGCAATGGCATGAAGCGCCATGTGGTGTCCTGCAAAAGGTCAATCAATTCCAACTTCTCACAAAAAAAAAAAAATCTCACAAAGGTGGAATTGATTGACCTTCCCCCCCAAAAAACTTTTTGTTTCCCTGCACGCGGGGACAGCGGATCATGAAGGAGAAATGGCACGGGGCTGGAAGTCAGGCAAGGGAAAAAATGCAATTCCTGGGGAAAGCTCCACGGGGAAGGGGTAGCTGGCATGGGTGCTGACGGCAGGACACCAGCCCGCTTCACCACCCTCCCTCCAGCACTCCACCTGCCACTTTGGTCGGCCTAGTTGCTCCCACCTCAGCGCCCTTCCTGCCACTGCCCAGCATGGCCGCCCTTGAGCTGCAGGGGCTGGCCTGGCACAGGAATGGCACGCGCCCCGCCCGCCCGTTTCACCACCCTCCCTCCCTGAGCCTCCGGCACTCCACCTGCTGTGCCTAGCCGCCCCCACTTCAGCACCCTTCCCGCCACTGCCCAGCATGGCCGCTCCCGGGCTGTGGGGGCTGGCCTGGCATGGGAAGGGCATGCGCCCCACGTGCACCGGTACTGTACCTGGTCCGCCACCACTCTCCCCGCCATGTTGTTTCTCCACCCCATGCACAGGGCCCACCCCACCCTACGTGTTCACGGCCTACTGGTACTGGCAAAAAGTAAGCCCTCCCCAAAAGTAAATCTTAGTACTTGCTTCAGAGCCCAAAAGAAAGTTAAGACCAGGTCTTACTTTTGTGGAAACACAACATGTAGAAATAACCACTGTGTAAAACCTTACTAAGGCTTACTAAATGCCACTCTATAAAGCCTTAATAAGACCACACCTAGAATACAGCAACCAGTTTTGGTCTCCACACTATGAAAAAGATGTTGAGACTCTAGAAAAAGTGCAAAGAGCAACAAAGATGATTAGGGGACTGCAGGCTAAAACGTATGAAGAACGATTACAGGAATTTAGCATGACTAGTCTAGTGAAGGACCAGGGATGACATGATAGCAGTCTTCCAATATTTGAGGGGCTGTCACAGAGAGGAGGGGTTCAACCTATTTTCCAAAGCACCTGAAGGCCTGACAAGGAATAACGGATGGAAACTGATCGAGGAGAGATTCAACCTAGAAATAAGGAGACATTTTCTGACAGTAAGAACAATCAAACAATGGAACAGCTTGCCTTTAGTAAGCTGCGTGTGATAAGGGAGGAACTTTGTGTGAAACACTGTCTACAATCTGTGTATTTGAATGGCTACTCCCCTATGTGTAAGCTTACATGACTTATAAGGTTAGACTTAGTACTGAAATCTTTTCCACAATCCGGACATTCATACGGTTTCTCTCCTGTGTGAGTCCTCCAGTGTATTACCAAACGGGAATTCCAACTAAAACTTTTCCCACATTCAAGACACTCATATGGTTTTTCTCCTGTGTGAGTTCTCTGGTGTTTCACCAGGTATGAATTCTGCCTGAAACTTTCCCCACAATCTGGACACTGATATGGTTTCTCTCCTGTATGAGCTCTCTGATGTCTCACCAGGTTAGAATTCTGACTGAAAGTTTTCCCACAATACAGACATTCATATGGTTTCTCTCCCGTGTGAGTCCTCTGATGGATCACCAGCTTGGAATGCCAAGTAAAAATTTTCCCACAATCCAGGCACTCATTCAGTCTCTCTCGTTTGTGACATTTCTGGTGCTTCACAAGTTCAGACTTGCAACTGAAACGTTTCCCAAACTGTGGACACTCATAGAGTTTCTCTCCCGTATGATTCTTCTGATGAATCACCAAGTTGGAATTCCGAACAAAACTTTTCCCACAATGGCATTTATATGGTTTCTCTCCTTTGTGAGTCCTCTGATGTCTGACAAGGTCAGAATTGCAAATGAAACATTTCCCACAATCTGAACACTCATATGGTTTCTCTCCTGTGTGAATCCTCTGGTGTATCACCAGGTCAAAATTCTGAGTGAAACTTTTCCCACAATCTGGACACTTATATGGTTTCTCTCCTGTGTGAGTCCTGTGATGTCTCACAAGGAGGGAATTCTGAATGAAACTTTTCCCACAATACAGACACTCATATGGTTTCTCTCCTGTGTGAGACCTCTGGTGTTTCAGCAGGTAGGAATTCTGACTGANCACATTTCCGACAGTAATCTTTCCCACAATCAGGACACTCATATGGTTTTTCTCCCGTGTGAGTCCTCTGGTGTGTCAACAGATTGGAAATCTGACTGAAACTTTTCCCACAGTCTGGACACTCATATGGTTTCTCTCCCGTGTGTGTCCTCTTGTGTACCACCAGGTCAGATTTCCAAGTGAAACTTTTCCAACAATCAGGACATTTAAAGAGTTTCTCCCCAGTGTGAATCCTCTTGTGTCTCACCAGATTGGTGTGTATGCTAAAACTTTTGCCACATTGGGAGCACTGGTAGAGCTTCTCTCCGGTATGGGTCTTTCCATGAATCATGAGGAAGCTTTTTTGAGTAAAGCTTTTGCCGCACTCCAAATATTTTTATGGATTTTCACTGGGTGGATCCTCTTGTGCATAATCAGCTGTGGTCTGCAATCTATATTTTTCCCACAATAAGCCCTCTGCGGAGTTTCTCCAATACTGATATTCTTGGATTCTTGAGGAGGCCAAAAATATTTCTGATCTCTTACCTCGAGGTACTTTCATTCAAGCCACTCTTCCCTTCATCAAAGGATTTTATTAATTCCTCCCTATTTTGGCTATCCAACTGACCTTTTCCTTCCCATTAACTTCCAGTTATTTCCACTTTTTCTTTATTTGGATATTATCCCCCTTGACTTCCCATGTAATGCTTGCTTGAGTTCCACATGCTCTATTTTTTCCAACTCAAACCTTTGTTCTTATTCTCTTGCTTATCTCTCTCTATTAGCTGAGGAAGGAGCAGAGTTTTTACACTTTCCGGAGTGAGTGGAAAAGATTTTGATTGGTTTGTTTTGCATTTTAATGCTGCTTCTCATTCTCTATTGTCCAGAGTGCTCTTCTTGGCATCCTCTTTGTCTGTAAGATTCATATTAATAGGTTAGTTTCATTATTGTTTAAAAAAAATGGTGCAGGACATGTAAAAGCAGCAATACCCCCCCATATATTAACATGAAAGAAGAAACAGGAAAATTCTAGTTTAACCTCTAACGTTATGATTCATTTGACATATTGAAGACTAACAGATCCAAGTTCAAATATCAACTCAATCCTAAAATTCTTTTTTGCTTCGATAAATCACACATATACTGTACATTTATTTATTAATGTAGACAATATCTCCATTTCAGTGTACAGAACGTCTTAGAAGTGCATTCACTTAAATATTTTGACCCGAGTTTAGAAATGTGCAGACACTAACAGACAAAATGGTGGCCAAATCCTGGAACAGAATTAAATCATCCGTTTTACCCATGAAACTCCTTACTTGCCAGGAAAAGAATGTCTCAATAAAATCTCAAGGAATCAAGAGTTACATGAAAACTGAAGGAGATGGAAGTTCCTCTGCTCTGCTCTTCTCCTCTCCTCGACATCCTTTCTAGCAATACTCGCTGGTTTTAACTCTATACCATTTCATATTGCTGGCTATCGAATCTTTTTTTAAATCCTTAAGTGATGAAGCACCTATAACAGTGTTTCTCAACCTTGACAATTTAAAGGGATGTGGACTTCAACTCCCAGAATTCCACAGCCAGCAATGCTGGCTGTGGAATTCTGGGAGTTGAAGTCCACATGCCTTAAAATTGTCAAGGTTGAGAAACACTGACCTATAACTTCTAAAGGAAAGTATCCCACTTGTTAATTGTTTTGTTTTCACTATTATGAAGTGTCTCCTTAATTCCAGGTTGCGTCTCTCATTGATTACTTTCTATCCATTGTTTCTTGTGTTGCCTTCTTGTGTTGTGTTGCTTTGGAAAATAAATTGATCCCCTCCTTTTTGTGGCAGCCCCTCAAATACTGGAATACTGCTATCATGTCACTCCTTTTTTCTAGACTGGCCATAACTAATTCCTGCAACCGTTCTTTATATGGTTTAGTCTCTAGCCCTTTAAATTTTAGTCCCTCCCAGCAGAATATTACCGGCAGAAGTTTTAAATCAAGCAGCATAAGTGAAAAAAAGATTTGGGAAGAGAAAGAATATGCAACAGCAGCCGACATGTTGTTTCACCTAGTTCAGGGGTAGGCAACCTGGGCTCTTTTATGACTCGTGGACTTCAACTCCCAGAATTCCTGAGCCAGCATGGCTCAGCTTGGAAACCTCTCCCTTTCCCCTCAGCATGGCTGGCTCAGGAATTCTGGGAGTTGAAGTCCACGAGCCATAAAAGAGCCCAGGTTGCCTACCCCTGACCTAGTTGCTTCTCTGCTTTTACACCCCGGAGGAAAGCAGGCAGCCCGACTTGCTCCCGGCTTCTCCTCCGACCTGCCCTCCACTCACCGTCCAGCTGCTGCTTCGACCCTGGGGAAAGCACGAGAGCCACACCGCGTGCCTCCATCCTTCCAATGGTGTGCCGGAAGAGAAAACTTCCTCTGCCCTTCTCCTCTGCTCGACCTCCTTTCTAGCAAATACTCGCTGGTTTTAACTCTTTTCGTCTCAGACCCTTCCCGTCTCTCCCCCCCTCTTCCGTTGGATGTCGCAACCCAGCCGCCTGCGATGCCGCTGTTAGATTGGCGGTTTTCCAGGCGCTGTTGTTGTGTTAGAGCGCCACCTAGTGCCGTGAGGCTGAAAATACGCTCTTTCTGTCTCTATCTGGAGCAGTGTTTCTCAACCTTGACAATTTTAAGGCATGTGGACTTCAACTCCCAGAATTCCACAGCCAGCATTGCTGGCTGTGGAATTCTGGGAGTTGAAGTCCACATGCCTTAAAATTGTCAAGGTTGAGAAACACTGATTTCTGGAGTTTCTAAGATTTTTTTTAAACGAAGGGTCGTTTTCAACTCTTCGCAACCAAACCCCGTAATTTTTCACGACCAAACCTATACCTTTTCACGACCAAACCCATAACTTTTCAACAAGGACGATCTAGCCCTCGTCTGCCCTTTGGGGCCTCGCAGGGACGCCCTCATCGTCACTGCAACTGAGCCAGGAGCTTGTTTTGCAAGAACGAAACCAAGGGAAACTTGCCTTGCAACTTAGCGAAGCTGTAAAAAGTGAAGCTTGATCCTCTTCTGGGATTTTATTTTCTTTTACTCCCATGTTTAGCTAACGAGCACGGTATTTCCTGTTGGTGCCCCCTCCCTGCTAAGCGATGGAAATTCTGGCACCAACTTCTGTTGCAACCCAAGAACCACCTATTATTTCTTTTCCAAACGCAGGAGAGGGCTGGAAGAGTCATTTTCCTTCTTCCTGGTCAGTTGGCATCCGGACCGGCTTCGTACCTTCAACAACAGTTTGCTATACGTAAGAAAATCATGAGAGGTTTTCCTTGTTGCAGATTAGAACCTTTTCTAAGTGCAGCTGAATGAAAGGTTGGCAGCCTGGAACTTTAACTCACCCTCTCTGATTGCAACTTTGATTTTTGCCACTCTTTGCAGCTCTGATTTTTGGAGAAAGGGCTGTGCAGAAGAAAGACACCTGGGCCCTTCTCAGGCTGGGTTCAGGCCAGGGCACATCACTAAAACGGCATTGGTTGCAATTCTCATGGACTTTTGGAGGCCTGGGGATAGACAGGGCACAACCATTTTGTTCCTCCTAGACCAGTGGTTCTCAACCTGTGGGTCGGGACCCCATTTGGGGTCGATCGACCATTTCATGGGGGTCGCCAAGCAAGGCTGTCCGCCATTTTTTTTGTCCGCCATTTTTTTTCCCTTTTCCGGCGGGTGCCTTACCTCCCTTGGGCTGGGCCAGCTGGTGGTCGGCCTGCTCCGTCTCTGCCGCTTGCCAGCTACGCCTCGGCCGGCGCAGGGGGCGGAACCACGCATGCGCGGCGCTCCCAGGCAGGGAAAGTCCTCGACTTACGACCGGCTGGGTAGTTCTCGACTTACGACCGGTTTAGTCCTCGACTTACGACCGGTTGGGGGTCGCGGCATTAAAAAGGTTGAGAACCACTGTCCTAGACCTCTCATCAGCTTTCAATACCATCGACCATGATATCCTTCTGGACCGGCTTTGGGGACTGAAAATGGGAGGCACTTTATTACCGTGGTTTTATTTCTACTTTCAGTCGAAAGTTGATACTCACAATACGAAGACAAGTCTGGTTAACAAAACAAAAGTTTTATTGGAGAATAACATAAAAATAATGAAAGAAAAGAAAAGAAAAGAACAAGAGCGTTTGCAAACGCGGCCTCCTGGAATCTTCCCACTCGAATGTTTTCCAAGAGAGCAATAACCTGGTTTCAAGCTCTGCATTTTATACCTTTACAATGCATGTCACATCTAAGAAGCTCTTTCATCTTTATAGATGTACTTTGAAGTTGTACTTAAAAGTCATCCTGACCTCTTCCACCCATCTGCTGTTATCTTGTTTATTTGTAATTTTCACCTAGGGTCAAAATCCCCCTCTTTGATAGTAGGATTTGTACTCAAAGTGTAAGTTCCTGTGTCCGGAGGATTTTTAGGCAGGAAATAGTAAACAAACCTTCTCACACATGTGGCAGTGCATTGCTACATTTGCACTACAGTGTTACATTTATGTTAAATAGACAGTCTCATATATTGGCATTACATTTCTACAATTATATTTCTACAATTTACAAAAGAATAACTTTTTCCCCTTCAATCGTTACATTAGAACTTTATTGTTATATTTTATAAAAGAATAACTTTTATTTCCTTCAGTTGCAATTTGGCGTGCCCCGGGGCTCAAGCCTTTGGCTGCTCCTTTTTAAGAACCACTAGGGGACGGCCCTCCATACTACGATACCCAAGTATATACAGGTAGTCTGAGACTGATAGCATTTCATTATCACCCATTTGAAATTACAACCGCACTGAAAACTGTGACTTGTGACCATTTTTCACAATTACAACCGTTGCAGCACCCCTACAGTCCACATGAACAAAATTCAGATTCTTGGCAATTGACTCGTATTTGTGACAGTTTCAGTGTCCTGGGATCGTGTGATCTCCTTTGGCGACTGAGCTGGTCCAGAATCTGTAGGTCCTCCTGGACCCATGGCTACTGCTTGAGGAGATTGTGACGGGGGGGGGGGATTCATCTATTGTGTCAATTGTGCCCTTTCCTCGACTGGGAGGCCTTGCACAGGGGTCACTCATACCCTGGCCATCCTGTTTAGGCCACCCAGAAACGTCAACTGGTGCAGAACGCAGCAGCTGACACAATAACGGGGGCCCCTAGGTTGCCCATCTAACATCTTTGCGGTGTGAGCGGCACTGGATTCATTTCTTTAAGGTGCAACTGAAGATGCTTTACAGCTATTTCTTTATTATAGCAATAGCAATTAGAATTATATACCACTCCAGAATGCTTTACAGCACTCTCAGTTTACAGTGTTTATTACTGTAAGCCCTCTGAAGTTACCTTGAGTTTCTTAATTTCTTAATAAATAAAAATACATACATGCATATTTATATCCCGCCTTCATTATATGTAGAAAAAACTCAAGGTGGCAATCAGTCCTAATATAGATCCAAGCTCGCTTTCTCTGGCCCAGCACAGCAATTCACCTCGACTCTGTGAAAGGAAACAACTTCACTGGTCCAGAGAAAGGAAGCTGAGATCTCCTCCCTCATGGCTGATACTAAGACACGTTTGACGAAAAAGAATAAGGCAAGAAATTAAATGGTTAATTCTTCAGCTGGGCTTCCAATGAGAGAAGAGAAACAAAATTCAAGATTCCTCTACACACATCAAAATACATCAATACATACATATTTATATCCCCCTTTATTATATGTATAAATATCAAGGCAGCAAACATACCTAATACACATCCATGGACTATACTATACTATACTATACTATACTATACTATACTATACTATACTATACTATACTATACTATACTATACTATACTATACTAATACTAATACTAATACTAATACTATACTATCAATTATAACTATACTAACTATACTATTCTAACTATACTATACTATACTATACCATACCATACCATACCATACCATACTAACTTCACTAAAATAATCAGACAAGAAATTAAATAATAAATTGCTCAGCTGGGTTTCCAGCAAGAGACAAGAAACAAAATTCACAATTCTTCTACACAGATCAAATTTTGTCTCAAGTGGAATTTCTTGTCTGTGATAAGGGAGGAATTTTGTGCAAAACAATTTTTGCCTGCAATTTGGGTACTGGAATGGTTACTCCCCTATGTGTAACCTTACATGATTTATAAGGCTAGATCTACTACTGAAATCTTTCCCACAATCTGGACACTCATGCGGTTTTTCTCCTGTGTGAGTCCTCCGGTGTTTCACCAGATTGGAATTATCCTGGAAACTTTTCCCACAATCCGAACACTCATATGGTTTTTCTCCTGTGTGAGTCCTCCGGTGTCTCACCAGATTGGAATTCTGACTGAAACTTTTCCCACAATACAGACACTCATATGGTTTCTCTCCTGTGTGAGTCCTCTGGTGTATCACCAGGTCAGAATTCCGTGCGAAACTTTTCCCACAATCAGGACATTCAAAGACTTTCACCCCAATGTGAGTCCTCTTGTATCTCACAAGATTGGTGTGCATGCTAAATCTTTTGCCACATTGGGAGCACTGGTAGAGCTTCTCTCCGGTATGGGCCCTTCCATGAATCAGAAGGAAGCTTTTTTGAGTAAAGCTTTTACCACACTCCAGACACTCATATGAGTTTTCTCCTGTGGGAGTCCTCTGGTGTTTCACCAGGTAGGAATTCTGACTGAAACTTTTTCCACAATCTGGACACAGATACGGTTTTTCTCTTGTGTGAGTTCTCGCGTGTATTACCAGCCTGGAATTCTGACTGAAACTTTTTCCACAATGCAGACACTCATATGGTTTCACTCCCATGTGAATTCTCTGGTGTGTCACCAGCTGAGAATTCTGAGTGAAATTTTTCCCACAATCACAACATTTATATGGTTTCTCTACTGTGTGAGTCTTCTGATGTTTCACCAGGTCGGATTTGCAACTGAAACCTTTCCCACAATCTTGGCACTCATATGGTTTCTCTCCCGTGTGAGTCCTCTGGTGTATCACCAGGTAGTAACTTTGACTGAAACTTTTCCCACAATCTGGACACTCATATGGCTTCTCTCCTGTGTGAGTCCTCTGATGTTTAACCAGGTCAGAATTCCAAGTAAAATCTTTCCCACAATCTGGACACTCATAGGGTTTCTCTCCCGTGTGAGTCCTCTGGTGTTTCACCAGGTAGGAATTCTGACTAAAACTTTCGCCACAATGACGACATTTATAGGGTTTCTCTCCTGTGTGAGTCCTCTGATGTTTCACGAGGACAGATTTCCAAGAGAAATCTTTCCCACAATCAGGACACTCATATGGTTTCTCTCCTGTGTGAATCCTTTGATGTTGTACCAGGAGGGAATTCCAACTGAAACATTTCCCACAATCTGAGCACTCATATGGTTTCTCTTCTGCGTGAGTCCTCTTGTGTCTTACCATATCAGTGTGCATGCTAAATCTGTCACATTGGAACCACTGGTAGAGCTTCTCTCCGTATGGGTCATTCCATGAACCACAAGGTAGCTATTCTGAGTAAATTTTTGCCGCACTCCAAACATTTGTATCGCTTTTCACTGGGTGGAACCTCTCGTTCATGTGATTTTCCCACATTAGGCAGTCTGTGGGGTTCTTTCAATACTGATATTCATGGATTCTTGAGGAGGCCAAAAATGTTTCTGATCTCTTACTTGGAGGTTCTTTGAGTCAAGTCATTTTTACCTCCCTGAAAGGGTTTAATTAATGCCTGCCCATTTTGGCCATTCAAAGGACCTTTTCCTTCCCAACGACTTCCAGTTATTTCCATTTTTTAAAAACCTGGATATTATCCCCCTTGACTTCTCATGTAATACTCTATTTTTCCCAGCTCAAAACTTTGTTCTTGTTATTCTCTCCCTTGACTCTCACCTGATGAGAAAGGAGAAGAGTTTTTAAACTTGGTGCAGGACGTGGAAATGGTTTTGATTGCTGGTTTGTTTTGCATTTTAACGTTACTTCTCATTCTCTGTTGTCCAGAGTGTTCTTCTTGGCATCCTCTTTGTCTGTAAGATTCATATTAACGGGTCAGTTTCATTATTGTTTAACAAATATTTGCAAGACAAGTGAAAGCAGCAAAAAGAAAACCCATATATTAGCATGAAAACATCAAAATTCTAGCTTAACTTCTAACATTATTTATGATTCATTTGGCAGATGGAAGACTAGCAATATCCAAGTTCAAATATTGATTCGATTATAAAATTCTCTTTTTGGCTTGGCTAGATCACACATATACGCACACATATGCCCACAGAAATAGACACCTAACAATTTATGGGTTTCTGTGTAAATATGCGTCTGTATATCAATTAGAATAGAGCTGGAAAGGACCTTGTAGATCTTATAGCCCAGGGGTAGGCAACCTTGGCTCTTTTACGACTCATGGACTTCAACTCCCAGAATTCCTGAGCCAGCCATACTGAGGGGGAAGGGAGAGGTTCCCAAGCTGAGCCATGCTGGCTCAGGAATTCTGGGAGTTGAAGTTCACGAGTCATAAAAGAGCCGAGGTTGCCTACCCCTGTTCTAGCCCAACCCCCTGCTCAAACAGGAGACCCTAAACCAGTGTTTCTCAACCTTGACAATTTTAAGGCATATAGACTTCAACTCCCAGAATTTCACAGCCAGCATTGCTGGCTGTGGAATTCTGAGAGTTGAAGTCCACATGCCTTAAAATTGTCAAGGTTGAGAAACACTGCCCTAAACCATTTCAGAGGAGTGGCTGTCTAGTCTCTCCTTAAAAACATCCAATGTTGAAGCACAAATTCTGCACCGGAAGGCAACACAAGAAACAATGGATAGAAAGTAATCAGTGAGAGACGCAACTTGGAATTAAGGAGACACTTCATAATAGTGAAAACAATTAACAAGTGAGATACTTTCCTTTAGAACAGTGTTTCTCAACCTTGACAACTCTCAACCTTGACAACTGAGAGTTGAAGTCCACATGCCTTAAAATTGTCAAGGTTGAGAAACACTGCCCTAAACCGTTTCAGAGGAGTGGCTGTCTAGTCTCTCCTTAAAAACATCCAGTGTTGAAGCACAAATTCTTAAGGCAAGCTGTTAAACTGGTTGATTTTTCTCACTGCCAGGAAGTTTCTCTTTAGTTCTACGTTCCTTCTCCCCTCAATTAGTTTCCACCCATTGTTTCTTGTCTCGCCTTCTGGCACTTTGGAAAACGAGCTGACCCCCTCTTCTTTGTGCAGCCCCTCAAATACTGCAATACTGCTTATCATGTCCCCCCTAGTCTTTCTTTTCTCTAGACTGGCCATACCCATTTCCAGTCCTTTTAAATTTTAGCCTCTCCCATCTCCCAGCAGAAAATTACAGGCAGAAGTTTTAAATCAGGCAGC